GGGCACGTGTGTGTGCCCGTGTGCGTCTGCACACGTGCTCAGGTGTATGCTTGTGTGTGGTCGTCGTGAATCCCCCACCTCAGACAAGGGCCTCTTTGTGTTCCCTGCTCAGACTCTCTGCTCCTTCAGAAGGCCCCCGGTTGCTTATTTTTATAGGGCGTTCCAGTCCTTCTCTTTCCCGTTCCCTCTGTCCCACAGTGGCTATTCCAACAAGCCCCGACTTACCTCATTCTGCCGGGAGAAGAACGGCAGCTGAGGGGCTCTTACCTCAGTTTCCCCCTTGGGAGTCTCCAAGAAGGTGGTGGGGGGGGGGGGGCGGGGGAGAAGGCAAAGCAAATAGTGTCACTAAAACGCTGAGACTAAGCCACCGAGCCTCCCACCACAGTATTCCTCATTCTCAATGCTTTGTCTGTTAATCTCTTTGATTCCTGGGTCTCCATGTCCTCATCTGTAGAATGGGGGTAATCATGGCATGTAACTCAGAGGTGTTGTGGGGGGATTACAGGAAACACAAAGTGTCTAGAATTGTGTCTGGCACACGAGAGCCCATTAAATGTTAGCAATTACCATTAAACATCTTTATTGAGCCTGTCTGCCCGGTATACTAGTCTTTAGAGACGACTTCCTTCTAGATCACTCAGTATTTCTCTTGCCTTCTCCCATTTCTGTTCAGGAGACTGCGTAGGTCACCAAGTTGGAGAGGTCCGCGAAGTCCCCACTCAACGGACGGAACCCTTTTCTGCCCTGGGCCAGAGGGGTGAAGGGTTGTTGTTCTCACCCTAGACAGAGCCCGTCCTCCCCACCTCCTCAGACCCCCAAGTTTGCCCAAAGGAGGAGCCCAAGGTCGGCTTTGGCTAAAGCGCCCTCTGCTGGCCGCTGGCAAAAGACCTTGAGCAGGGGTGGACACTTCATGGTAGAGGCAGGGAAGAGCTTTCTGAATGCGAGGGGGACTTCTGTCCAGTGCAGAGCCCAGAGCCCTACCTTCTCATCTCCAAAATATCTGGCTTGGGGTAGCCCTTTTTTGTTTGTTTGTTTGTTTGCCAGCCTGAGAACGGGCTCAGCAGATAGCCTCCCGTCTCCCCACCAGGGCAGAAATGCTAAGACCAGGATAAGCTGCCAGCCAGCTCTGACCACCTGCCCCCATCTCCCTGAACAGGAGGAAGGAGAGACAAGACCACACACACAGGGCATCCTGACAGCAAAGCACAATGAAGGGCTTAGGGGGTTGGTTCTTCTTTTGAAGAAGGTAATGGGAGAGGGCCCCACGTGGAACCTGGGAGACTAGAGAGAAAATGGGTTATTGGGTTGTAAGCCCAGTGCACTCAGAAGGTGGTGGCCCACAGCTGTCTCCTGTTGCTCATATTGTAAGCCCCTCTCCTCCTCAAAGCCCGAGATAGATCCTCCCTCCATGTCCAAGTGCACTGGCCAGACATTTGCTGTACCTCTGGGCGGGGGGGGGGGGGGGGGGGGTTGGGGGGGGGGGGGAAAAAAAAAGCAAAAGAAAAAGCAAAAGAAAAAAAAATACATATACAGATATAGGAAAAGC